GCTCCGCCGCCGCCGCCTCGCCGCCACCACTGCCTACACTACAGCCAGTTCCCGGCCCCGCAAAGGCCCAGCGAAGCCCCGCCCCCATTTGCGGCCTAGCCAATGGGAGCTTGTGGAGGCGGGGCTAGGGCGCAACTCGGCCTGTTATTGGATTGAGGCCGTAGTTCCGGATACTCCTAGAGGCCCTGGCCCGCCCACCCCTCGGTTTGGCAGAAGAGCCTTGGACGTTTCGCCGCCTTCGTGTGGACTGGGAGACCCCCTTTGTCCCTGGGAGCGCGGAGGTCTCAGATTTCCCTCCCCGAGCCGGGTTGCCTAGGCGGTGCCCGGGGTCCTCCGGCGTTCCATTAGTCTTCAGGGCTAGGAGCAGGGAGGGTTTCATGGGCGTCCTGTTCTGTCCAATAGGAATTGAGCGCTGGGGATGGGAGGCTTGCAGCCTCCTTGAGAGAAGTTAGTACACGTTAGTACACGCAGACCCAGGAAAAAGCCCCAAGGCTGAAAATCTATCTCCATGACCAGAGGGCAGGGGAAAACCAAAGAACGAGTCTTCCCTCCCACTAGTCTAAAAATTAATGGAGCTTGTTAAGGGAAACTTACCTAAGAGGCACGTCTTGCGTGCGTGACTACAGGAGGAAATGGGTCCCTGTGCCGCCTGACAGGTGCCAAAGAATTATATAGGGGAAGGGGAGAGGGGCGGACAGTCATAGGTACTAGTACACGAATGCTACCAGGTATGGAGATTATTTCACATGTTTGAACGGGCCAGGACAATAACCTGTTCCCGGAACCAGCGCAGAGCGGGAGGCAAAGGGAGGTACTGGTTTATGTCAGAGTGAACATCAAATACAGTCAGGCAGTGTCTCAGGGAGGTTTGCAGTAGGCAATCTCCCCCTTCTGGCCCAGGTCCAGCTCTCGGGTCCAGCAGTGGTAACTTCAGGGAAGTCTCTCCTCCACACTCTACCCCTCATGACCAGCTCTTACAATCTCACGTGACCCCCTGTTCCCCACGGTGCCCTGAGTGGTCAGCAAGGGGCTTCAGTAGCAGGGAAGTAGCTCGCTTAGTTGCCAATTGACCTCATTGGAGACATAGTCGGCAGCAACAGTACCGACACATACAAGAAAAGAGACCAGTTAAAAGAAGCAATCCAAGTATTAGTAACTTTTTCCATCTTGCTTCCCCTCTGCCAGGACCTAAACCGGTGGGTTAGTAAGTCACCTAGGTTTGGGCTGGGTCATTTAAGGCATTTACATGAGTTTTCATATGTACTAACAAAGAAGAAATATTAGCAGATTCACCTGGTATAAGAACACAACATTCAGTTTGGATAATGGCACAGGCCCCACCCCCCACCCCCCACCACACACATACACAGGCCTGTAACGGATTGCTACAGGAACAGCAGGAAATCTAAGGTCAGAAAGACAAATATTTAGCCCTGGCTGGTTTGGCTCAGTGGATAGAGCATTGGCCTGCAGACTGAAGGTTCCCGGGTTTGATTCCAGTCAAGGGCACTTATCTCAGTTGCAGGCTCCTCCCCAGCCTGGGCCCTGGTCAGGCTCCTCATGCAGGCAACCAATCGATGTGTTTCTCTCACATCCACATCAATATTTCTCTCTGTCTTTCCCTCTCTCTTCCACTCTCTCAAAAAAAAAAAAAATCAATGGAAAAATATCCTGAGGTGAAGATTAAAAAGAAAAAAAAGACAAATATTTAGTAGGGACTTGAATTGGGAGATCTATGAGAATTATACTTGCAGTCTGATCTTTAGATGTTAGTGTAGCCGCAGTGTGTGGAACCTGGCCAGGCTGTGTAAACCATACTTGTTGGTCAGGAAGAAATGGTGCTCTTCCTGACCAGCAAATAAGGAGGTGAATAGGGGGAGGACTACATTAGATCAGGACCCCTACCTTCTCCCCTCTTTCAATGGTGCATGTACCAGTCTGAGTATAGCCTGTCTCCATGGCTCCTGACTGCATTAGGATAACAGGGTCTTACGGGAGACTGAGCAGTTCCTCTCCCCCAGGTGCATGCAGTAACCAACCCATCACAGGGTGTATCTCATTGCAGATTCCAGTGAATGTTCCAGGGACGATAAGGCCTGGTGCCTTCAATATCATGGCCCACTGGTCTATGGCAAGCATCAAGACTATTACTGTGTCCTTTGTTTCTCACACCTTAACCATATTGGGTGCCTCGTTTGAGCTCCCAGCCTGGCATACAGAGCAATAGGCCCCACTGTTGATCATTTAAGAGTATTTACACTTGGGAAAACACCTTTGTATACTGGCCAAAGTTGGTTTTCTAGTTAGTAAGTTAATCTGTTAAGGACCCCATTTTTTAAAAAATATATTTTTATTCCTTCAGAGAGAAAGGGAGGAGAGAGAGACAGAAACATTAATGATGAGAGAGAATCATTGATCGGCTGCCTCCTGCACGCCCCACACTGGGGATCAAGCTCAAAACCCGGGTATGTGCCCTGACTGGGAATCAAACCATGACCACCTGGTTCATAGGTCGATACTCAACCACTGAGCCACACCAGCCGGGCAAGACATATCTGTTTTAATTAAACCAACACACTTAAACTAGCTTTAATGACAAATCATGTGATCTCCCCAGATCATGTGATTCTGAGAAAGCATTTGGGTTAATTTCTGTATCTCTGAGAATTTTAGAATACCCAATCCTTAATTTATAGAAGCACTTCATTCCATTAAACCAACTAAACATAGCTCTTTTTTTTTTTTAAATATATTTTATTGATCTTCCACAGAGAGGAAGGGAGAGGGATAGAGAGCCAGAAACATCGATGAGAGAGAAGCATCAATCAGCTGCCTCCTGCCAACCTCCTACTGGGGATGTGCCCACCACCAATGCCCTTGACCGGAATCGAACCTGGGACCCTTCAGTCTGCAGGCCGAGGCTCTATCCACTGAGCCAAACCAATTAGGGCTAAACATAGCTCTTTTACAAGTTAGCAACACCATTTCGAGGTAGAAACTACTACACCAAAACAACACATATATAGACACACATGAACATACGGCTTCTAAAAAAGAGGTGGGATCTGTTCAAAGGAGCTTCCCCGCCGCCCACCCCGCCTTTATCTGCCAGTCCCTATGCTAACAGAGTTGTAGACATTCTAACATCTTTTTCTAGTTTCAGTTTTTCCTTTCTAACCCTGTCTTTTGCTTCTAGGTGGGCATCTGTGACCAGCCTACAGTTGTAGCCGTGGATTTCCTGCCTTGCCACAGTGCAGTTCCTTAAACAAGTAGGAGACCAGCCAGCATTTTCAGAGTCCCCCATACTCATGCGGCAGTCCACTGTGTCTAGCGTACAGCTCACCCCACCCCACATAGAGGTCAATGGCCAGGTCGACCTTCTTTACCAAAGCCCATTTCTTTGGTCTCCTGGCGGGCTTGCCAATTGTTAGTACACGCACACCCAGGGGAAAGCCCCAAGACTGAAAATCTACCTCCAAAAGCAGAGGGTGGGGAAAGACCAAAGAAAGTTGCCACTCCTCTCTAATAATAGTTTTCAAAGGGAAACTGACATACAGGTGTGTCTCGAGTGGCTGCAAGCTGAAATTGATCCCCATGCTGCTTGGCAGGTGCCAAAGAATTGTCCAGGGTAAAGGGAGGAATAGTCATATATACCGACATGTGAATGCTATTAGGTAGGGAAATTACCCCACATGCTTGAACGTGTCAGGACAACCTATTCCAGGAACCGGCACATAGCATGAGGCAAAAGAGGGTGATTTGTGTCAGAATGAACATCAAGTACAATCAGAAAGTTGTCTTTTT